CTCACTCTAGGTGGGAATGGATGGAAAGCCAACTCATTTGCAGAGGGCCGTGTTGGAAAGTTCTGTTGGTGATACCAGTTTTTAAGCCATGGTTCATTTCTAGAACCCTTTGCTCCCTCATTGGATGTTGGGCTTTCGGTGGAGGTATAAATGAAAATACCACTTGAGCTCCTAATTCTTTAACCACCTTCCCTCGCTGTTCATCATCTGTTGTTGTTATCTTCAGGTGCGTTGTTGTGTCGTGGTTGGCTTTTGATGCCATCGACTGTGGTGTCCTTTTGGGCTGACGTAATGGAGTTGGAGGCAGGTGGCACAATCACCTCCCTCCTCTGAGGCAGGCTCCAAATGGCGTTCATAGGGGGTGAGGTTGCTTCTTTCTGGGGCGCCACAGGGGCTCAGTACTCTCTCCAGTCCCTTTTGAACATCTACATGAACCCGCACAAGACAAGGTAGCACCAATAACCCGATGATACCCAGCCACATGTCTCCATCCCAGGTGAAGGGAGAGATGCCCTTCCGTGGGGCCCAAAGGCGGTGGGCGTCTGGATGGAGAACAGCCCTCTTCAGCTGAGCCTGGTCAGTTGGAGTGGCCAGGGGTGGGGCCCTCTGGGTCCGGGAGTTCACTGCTCCTGGATGGGGCTACCACTACCCCAGGCTGACCTGGCACATAACCTGGGGGGCTCCTGCTGAAAGAGCAGATGGCAGCCGTGGCCAGGAGGTCCTTTGCCCAACTTCGCATTGCATGCCAATTATGCCCCTTCCTGGACAGGGAGGCCCTCCACTTGGTCCCTTGTGCCCTGGTCGTCGCCCAATTGGACTCCTGCAATGCGCTTCGCGTCAAAGGGTCCTGGGCAGCCATGGCAAAATGGGCCCTTCCTGCTCTGACCAGCCCTTGGTCAGCCATCTTGCGAAAGGCCCGGCTTTTCCAGGGAATGGCACCTTCCTGGCTCCCAGGGCCATGGGGTGCTGCCTCCAGCTATTGAACTCCAGTGCTCACCAGCATTAGCCAAGGGTGGGGGAGAAGGAGGAGGGCTGGCACTCCAAAGGCATCTTTGCTCTCCTTCCAGCCTAGATGCGTCTGCTGTCTGCTGCAGCCCCCGGGAGACGCCGTTTCCCCTGGGCCTTTGGGCCTGTGTGACTGCAAGCCCCTTCGCTGGCTCAGCTTCTGGTGGGGAGTTGAGAGGCAGCCGTCACTTTCTTCCACAGGTTGCCATGGTGATGGAGGAAGCCGACCCCCCCCTGCGGAGAGTCTGCACTGCCCCTTCGATGCTCATCCAGCCCCCCCCAATGGAAGCTCCAATAGCAACTTGCCAAGTGCCCCCCCCCTTCTGCGCATATTTCAGCAGCGTTATGGTTTGAAAAACATATTACAGCAGCGTTACGCTTTGCTGTGGAGCAGTCATTGAGGAGAAGCCATTCTGGAGAATATTATGCCTGCACACTCGGACATAGGGGGTGTCATGGCTCGACACACACAGAGCCCGAGGTAGCCCCCGTCTGCACATGGAACAGACGCGTAAATGGCAAAAGGCATTTTCCCACCTAAAAGGTTTCAAAGCTCTTTAAAGGGAGCACCTTATGGCAGGCAAAACGTCTAATCTTTGCAGATTTTGTCTGCTGAAAGGAATGCAAAACATGCCTGCTTTTAAGGAAATCTTGATGGATTTTTATTTTAAAAAGGAGCACAAACCAGCAACGTATGGCCGCTTTCCCCTGATGAATCTTTCCATCCTCCGGGCTTTCACCAAGAACCCTCCAGCATGGCCGGAGCACTAGTGGAGCTGAGACCAAGTCGAACTGAGGCGGCCAGAGCCTCTCCGAGGGCAGAGAGGGCTGACAGACAGCACACTGGATGGGGGGGGTGTGTGGGGAGGTCCTTGAGGAAAGAAAATCATTCCTGTAAAACAGGCCTGTGGCTTCCGTGCCTCACTTAGCGCATCATCCTTCCACACCGCCTGGAAACGGCAAGTGGTGTCGAACGAGCGCAAGGAAGCGCCTCCGTCTGTTGGTTGTGGGCTTCCTCGCACAATACCTTTCAAGGCTCACCTAATGGCTGCTGAACTGCTGGGCACCAAGTCCCACAGGAGGGACCCATTTTCCGAGGCTCTGCAGCACGGAATGGGGCAACTCGCTGCGGGACAATTTAACCATTCCATTTAATTATTTAAAATAAATTTTAAAAAAACTATTTTAATTTTTGCAATCCACATTTAATTCTGTCCCTCCTTTTGCATCCTTTCTTTAATGGATTCTATTCCGCGATTCCTTTGACACTAGTGTAACTCTTGTCCCAGGGCGAGTTGGCCGTGGTACCCCCCGCAGCACCCAGGAAGGTAGGGGCCACGTCTTGGTGCTCCCGGGCTGTGGAAAGCCACGGCTGAGCCTCTCCCGGAAGCCTTGGGAAGAACTTCCAGATTCAGCGGATTGGCCAGGACCTAGAAGGGTTAAGGGAAGTTCACGCCGATTCTAATTCATGTCCCTGCATTTCTCTCATTTTTTTTGGATAGCCTATATTTGTGGCGTTTGCTGATATTAAGTAGGAAGATGGAAGAGAAATCAAAACTTTTTTTCAAAATCTACTATTATATAATTCTCTCTGGATCTGAGTCTGCAGTGATAATGCCAGCAAAGGATACATTTTTCATTCATTCTATTCGTACTGCAGTTAGAATGGGGAAACCTTTGTTTTTAATTTGTGTTTAGACGTGGACCAAAAAAATGATGATTTTTAATTTATGCATAAAAGACTTCATGTTTTTATCAATTTATCAAAAATTTTATTTCATTGAAAGGATTCTGTACAATGCCCGGAGTCACTTGTGATGAGATAGGTGGCTATATAAATCTGATCAATAAAGAAATAAAATAAAGTCTTACAAGTCTTCTCATCCAGCCTGCTAACTTTTGGATTTACCAAAATATTTTAAATTTTAAAATACCTGAAAATGAAGTAAAAGTAAAATCAGCATTCACATATCATCAAACTTAAGTTACTACTTTTATTTATTTTTTATCTTTATACTTCCTGCAAAAATAAGTATTTGATCTTATGTAAATGACAGAATGTCATTAAATTTTGAATTTGTATTAGGTTTTCTATTCTAAAATAATAAGTTGAATACTTATTTTGCTTTCAAATCTCAAATGCAACAATTGAGTGTTGCAAAATGGATTCAGTATCAGTGTTCTTGTACTTAGTGAGAAGTTATGGAATCAGTGAAATAAATTTTATCTTTGGAAAAAAGATAAACAATCTTTATATATATTAAAAAATCCTGCAACTTATTGAAGAATCCAAACACAGAGAATGTATCCCTAACCATCTGATCAGACCCCCTCGGCACAAGAGCCTCGGAAGGCAAATGTACCTGGTTACTCAGGTGACATGAAAACCCTCAGGACTCCAGGATGATGAAAGTTCTCATGTGACTCTCATAGTCAGGAAATTCCCCCTTATTTCAAGTTTGGATCTTTCCCTAAAGTTTATCATGATTCTTGTCCTAACCCTCAAGGACTTTGGAGATTAAATCCAGAGCCTTTACCTGGCCTTCAAGAATTGGAAATCCAGAGAAATGGAGAGTAACAACAACAACAACAACAATAATAATAATAATTCCTGATCCTGCCTTTCTGTCACCAAACAGGCAGTTAGGCTGCCATGGCTGGGCCTAGTTCCTATGGTTATGGGATTACCGTCTTTGGATCAGT